AGACAATCGCGGAGAAATGCTACAGCAAGAACATTGCTGACCACGCTAGGTGTCCCAGGGGACTTCCTTGGTGGCTGGACTGTCTGTTGCCAGAGGTGGGCCGAGTCCTGCTCGAGGAAGCAGGGAGCCTTTGGACTCCCCTCTGGGGCAACTGGAGGGGGCTGTTTTAAACATCAGTTCGGTACTTTCGTAAGCGCCTCAGAACTGTGTGAGGCTGCAGGGCGTGCCCGGGGACTTCCGAATGGGAGCAGGTGTCAGGACCCTCAGCAACAATGGAAGCACACACTTGCAAGAAGGTTTTACTTTATTGAAGCTGGAGATGCATGGACAGGAACACTGTTAGGAATGAGGGGTTGACTAGGCGCAAAACAGTTATAGTACATTCACATGAGCATTACCCCATTACTATGGTTCCCGCGCGCGCCATTAGGCCTGGGAACTAACTGCTACCCAAAGCAAAACAGGTACGAGCTTCCCACGGCTCTGCCTGCCTAAAGCCAAAGCAGTGATCTAAGCGACTCCTCCAGCGGCCTTGAGAGATACGCAGTGCAGTTTGCAGGAGGACGGCAATTAGCCATAGGGAAAGGTATGCGCATGTGCATAGGGAGAAGAACATTTTGGCAGCTTGCTGACAGCAGGCAGGGCCCTGCATCAGAGGCTTTGGTTCGACGGATGGTTGGAGCGGTCCAGTGCCCTCTGGCAACATCACCCCCTGCTGGGTGTACCCGTCACGGCTCCCCGCCCAGGCAGCTTCCACTCTGAATTCCCCCAGTGGAGAACACGGCCGAGGAAGGGGGGGGGAAGAGACAAGTTTCAAAGGGGGGGGGACACTGAGAAGTGGGGTTGGGAACTGGTACTGGAGGTGGAGGAGGGGGCAGCCAGTTAGCTGGGAGGGAGGTGGCGAGGAAGGGTGGGTGTGTCCGCTTGGAGGGAGGGAGGGTGGAAGGACATGTGCCACAGCAGGGATCCCTCAAGATGAACATTTACCTGCTAAGCAAAGTTGGAGTCCAGGCAGGCCCCTTTCAGACCAGCACAGTTTTAGTCACAGTAGAAGCGCCTGTGTGCACGCCCACTTCCTCGGATGCAGTGGAGCAGAAGGCCCTGGAGCATTACTTTGGGGGGTGGGGTGGGGACCGTTGTCAGGAAGGGCCCCTGAGAGTCAGGACCAGTGCTCCCTCTAAGCTGTGGAGTCTTGTGAGCAAAAATTCTACTTGGCGAGCTCCTGGCATTCAAGTGGTGAGCGAGCCATTTGGCTATGCCATAAATTAGTTTGCTTCGGAGCCATCCTTCCTGAGCGGAGACAAAACTGTGGGAGCCGGAGGCTAAAAAACTGTGAGCTAGCTCACACTGACTCAGCTTAGAGGGGACACTGGTCATGATGCATAAGCACTGGGTGATTGTATGTAATATCTGAGGGAGTCTGTTTCCGTGAATCTGAAGTCTCTCAGTTCCCGCTTGTACCCAGAACTGAACTTTATTTGTCTTGTAGGTGCCCCTGGACTCACACTTGGTTCCCATGTCTGTTTGTTAACTCTTGCATTTGTATGCTAATCCACTGCCATTCCCAGATCTTTCTTGCATCCAGTCTGGGCTATAATCACCCGGTGCTTATGCATTTCGACTCTCAATGGCCCTTCCTGACAAATAATGGTCGAGGAGGTTCTGTTCCACTGTATCTGAGGACGTGTGCTTGCAACACAGAATAAAACTGTTTTGGTCTTCAAGGTGCCTGCCTGGATTCAAACTTTGTTCTGCAGCTTCAGACCAACACGGCGACCCCACCTGAATCTATTTACCTGCTAATTTTGAGACGGGAATGGAGTGGTGGAACGGGGGAGAAGAACCTGGTCGTTTTTGCTGTTTGGCCACTAGAGGTCAGAGACGTGCCATGAGACTGGGCCCTCGATCTGCAGAAGAAAGACGCTTTCTTATGAACTCTGCCCATTAGGAAGGCCGTGGCATTTTGGGTCTCGGTCCGATCCAAACGTTGCTTCTGATCGGTGGCATACTCTGCAGTTGGTCTGTTGACTTGCCATCAGCTGCCGGGCTCAGTTCAAGCCGTAGCCTTTCACGGCCCTGGTCTCTCAGGCCTGCAAAAATCGCCTCTCCCGCTATGCTCTGCAATGGCAGCTTTGCTCACCTGAGCAGAGCCTTCTGCATGTGCCAGCCGGCAAGTGGGCAAGGTCAGCAGCTGTCTGGGTACATGCACTTCCTGTTGTGGCCTTCTGTGGTTTTGCCTCTCTGCAAACTACGCAGAACAGAATTGTTCAGGAGGATCTTTTTGTAAAAGGAATAATGGCTCAGGAAGGCATTTTTGTAAAGGGAACGGGACTCTGAACGATACCACAGTGTGTCGTATAAGAAAGAGAACAAAGTTTGAGCCCACTTTGTGCACATGCACACGGAAGCGTACACCCAGAATCAAAATGTGTTGGTCTTAAAGGTGCCGCTGGATGCAAGTTTTGTTCTGCTGCTTCAGACCAACATGGCGATAACCCACCTGGATCTAGAGTCAGAAAGGTGGACTGTAAAGTAAGTCAGTACCTAAGAGACTCAGAGAAACGTCTCCCTTACTGGGCCAGCCCAAGGGAAGCTATAGCCAGTGTCATGGCTCAGGTGGGGTGTCACCTGACGCTGCCACCACTCTGGATTTAGGTTCCCTTGAGAAGGCCCAGAGCACCCTCCCAAGACCTTCAGACCTCCCTTTTGGCCAAATAACAGGCGTGAGGACCAGGCAGAGTACAACAAGAAAAAGGTTTGTTTTACAGGAGGTCAAACAACAAGGTGCAGGAATAATAATAGTAAGTGGGTGAAAAGAAAAGAAATCAAATGCCCTAACGCATCTTATTTTTTATATTTTTTATATTTTTTGGATTTATATCCCACCCTCCCCGAAGGCTCAGGGCGGCTAACAAAGAGGCACAAGTGCCAAAGTTAAAATAGATAAAAACTGAATAAAACAATACAGTACAAAACACTAAAGTGTCGGTGCTCTAGAGGTCACAGAATCAGTTGTTGCAAGGTGGGGGTCTGGTAAAAGTTATTAATTCCAGGCCAACAGCGTACCTCCTAGCAGCACAACCATCCCATCTTCATCCAGGGATGTCTCCCACCCCACTTAATATCTGCACAATTGGTGGTCAAGGTGCGATAATGGGGGTTAGCAATGATGGAATAGTGGTGGCGGCGGCTCCTACTCAAAGGCCTGGTGGAAGAGCTCCATCTTGCAGGCCCTGCAAATAATAACAACAACAACAACAACAACAACAACAACAACAACAACAACAACAACAACAATAATAATAATAATAATAATAATAATAATAATAATAATAATAATAATAATAATAATAATAATGTTGGTCGATTTTGG